CTCAAAATGTGCGGTGCGGCCCTTTGGTGCGGTGCGCCTTATGTGTGTTGTAACTGCGACTTTTGAGACCACCTCATTGAGGAGATGATGAAAGGCTGTGCTCGCTGTTCGACATCGGTGTGAACCGGACCCAGCAGGTGCAGCAGAAGCAGCGAGTTTACATGCAAAGTCAATGGTTGACGCGCGTATAGGTGCAGCAAAAGGTCCCGCACCGCATTTTTGAGCAGCAGGCGCAGCGCGTCGGGAGCGTTTAAGCATCTGACGCACAGCCAACGCGCTGCTGCTGCTCGAGATGGAAAAATTGAAGTGCTGGACGCGCCGCATCAACCAATCAGAGAAGCTGATCTGGGAGCTGACAGCGAGACAGACTCAGCGCTCTGATGACATATGATATTAACGCAAATGAAAAAGGCTGGATGGATGAGGAGATGATGAAAGCGTGGCTGAGATAGGTGTATGTGAGGAGACCAGGTGCTTTTTTCCACGCATCACCATCACATATATGTAGCTGGGCAGTTAGTAAGGAATTTAAATACATACAAAACAAAATCCTATTATAAACCTGTATTTATAAAACTGGAGTGACTCCCTTATAATCACACTTTAACTTGATGAATTGGGGAAAAAAATACAGAACAAAAATTATAGTCATAATGACTTAATTAGTTTTACTTTGTTTTCATCAAGACTCCTGAGCTGCTTTGATGAGCTCCGATAGCTCAGTGTGAAAAACAGCCGATCCCAGGCTGTTCTTTACATCCAGGATGTTCCTCTGCTTGGTTCTGATGTGTGTCACAGCTGAAGTTTGAACTCAAAGAAAAACTTACTTTTTGGTTGATAAAATCTTGTTTAATTTTTCAATTGGGTCCTCACAAAAAAAAAAAAACAGATCCCTGCCAAATTTTATTTTCCCACCTAATCCTATGTTCAGACTGCGAGCAGCAGGAGCAGCGAAAACGTGCATGCTGCTTCATTTTTGATGCTTGTACAAGGTACCAGGATAATAAAAGTGAACATATTCCAGCAGAACTTCAAATTCCGGCAGATTTCGGAATTAGAAGGTAATTTAGGTGCTAATAAACTGTTTCAGAGGAGTGATCACAGGGATCTGCATCAGTTGATGTGGCGTGTTGAGCAGCAAAACAAAAATTTTTCCAACTCCAGCAGCTGCTGCTGCTTTCACAGCGTGTCCCACATGTCAGATGCTCAGACGCACTGCTCCTGCTGGTCAAAATGCACTGCTGGACCTTTTGCTGCAGCTTGATGCGTGTCAACCATTGACTCTGCATGTAAACTAGCTTCTTTTGCTGCCTCTGCTGCTCTAAGGGCAGATTATACTTCTGCAACCGCACACATTAAATATCGCTTGGGTCTGGTCAGAAACCAGTTTTGCTAGTATGCTTCTGAACCGGCGGTCTGGAATTTCTAGGGACGCAAAGCAGTTTCCCGCCAAAGCGCAAGGGGGGTCCTATTTAAGAACTCGCGAGAACTTCGGTGGTGCCAGCGAGAGTGTTTATCTTCCAAAATAACAATGGCGTCTCTGAAAGATATCACGGTCACGGAGATGGATCTAGAGTTGCTAGACATCAAAGAGGAACAGGTTTTGCTAATGGAGTTTAGCAAAAAGATCGATTGACCTTTCATCGTAGTCGTTCATCGTATTTGTTCCTCGGTTTTTAAAAATGGCGCTCCCAGTCACCGAATCGTGAAGGACGACCACACAGACAGCCAGAAAGGCATACCAAGGACCAATCACAGCTGCTTTTGTCTGCGCACTTCTGCTTGAGGTCTGCGCGGGTTTGCAACCATCCAACGCGTAGTCAGGATTTTTTAGATGCGCGACGACGATTGCAGAACCTCTGCGTGGGGGGCGTGGTCGAGTACAGAGACAAATGAGATGGTTGCAGAGGCTATGCATCAGAAAATACTTTCATTTACCCCTTGCAATGCACCTGCGGACCACTAGGGGTATAAGAACCCCTGGTTTGGAATCCCTGATCAAGATGGTTCTACAGAGCAATGGGTAAAGGTTGTGACTTTGGTCAGAAAAAAACTACAAAAACGTTTACTGGTTTTAACATGTAAATGTTGAAAGATTGCTGTCCATCCTTCTGGAAAAGGGTCAGAGGTCATTTTTGAAATGAACAGAAGTGAGAGTAATAATCTATCGAAGAAAATATGCAGTAGAGGCAAACCTTCTCAGGAGACAACGGTCAACCTGAATTACTTCAATAACATCAGCCATTCAACTAAAGGCTGTTGTGATTAAACTCCCATTAAACACCAGACATGACTAAGTTAAAAGTTGTTTTGAAAGGTATGTGTCCCATTAAACTGGACCAAAGACATACACAGCATTAGAGAAACAGGCAACAGTCAGAGCACGGTAGTGGCAGTATGACCTCTTGATTCAGTTCACTCTCTGAAATCCCACCAATGCGGCTGAAGTAGGAGAGTGGAGCAAAATTACTCTGAAGTCAAGTTAAAGACAAACCTGCCAGTTACTTCAAAATCTTAACGTCAGAGGAATACTTGCCATTCTTAAGGTTAAGAGAAAATTGTCAGTTTATAAGAGTTTATCCTTTTCAGTCTTTAAAAATGATTAGAAACATATCGTCAAATAAACTAGATATCAACCTCTCCTCACTTCCAAGATCTGCATCCTATAAAAATGCCAGATGAGGTGAGGAGAAGCCGGCGAAGCAAAGGATCCTGGATCCCTCTCTTTGGAAGTGTTAACCTTGAGAAACACTAAAGGAGAAGTATAAGTGCTGCACTAATGCGGCTGTTGAAGTATTAATAGTGGTGGGGTGTGTGTGTGTGGGTAGTTATGGTCGACACCATTTCATTTAAAATATATTTCCAAGAGGGGGTTAGAGTGTCCACTGATATCCATAAATGAAATTCAATTCAATCTTTTTTTACAATTTGAGCAGGACTTTGCGTCACAGCAATAAATACAGCATCTTGGAGCTTTTAACACTTAAAAAAAAATGCTATCATAGTAATATTTTTAGCTAATCCTCCGTAATTTCTGCGTAAGTTAACATAAGAGAGCCTTGTTTTTAGTGTGTGCAATGAGGAGCTGAGCGGGATGGTCAGAAGCAGACGATGATAAACTATTTCTAATTAGTTCAATGAAAAGATCATCAATATAAACCCAGTTTATGGTTTTTCAAACATCTGCGCCAAAGATGTAATGATGCTGAAGATCACAAATACGAAACTGAAGTTCAGTTGGAAATCTGTCAGGTTTTTTGATCGTATTCAGAGATTTTTCTGACAGAAGCTATAGAAAGTAATTTTGAATAAAGAAGAATTTATTTCATCTCCATGAGTCAAATTAATTTACATTTATGAAAAAACAGGAAACGTACATATGTAAGCCGCATCAGGCTATAAGCCACTGATATACTGAACTGTCTCCCAGTGAACCTGTAGGGGGAGCTCTACATATAGCCCCTGGAGAAGAGAAGGAGAATGCTAGCACCCGTTAGCTTGTTAGCTCGGTTCTACTGAAAGATGGCACTTAATCTGCTCTTTATTTCAGCTTTGAAAGAGTTGAGCCCAGTCTCTTCATCATTTTGGGCGGCTTCAATGCGGCAAATAAATGCCGAAAAGTGTGAATTCGGGACATTTTTTCTCCGTCATGCCTGCTGCCAGTATGTTCTTCTGCTAAATTAAAATTAGCCCCTTATTCTTTCATTTACAACTTAGACTTCCCCCTCTGGTGGTTAGAAAACATCCACAGAACAGCTGCGCCTTCTAATAAGCAAAATGGTTTAGTACATGGGGGAAAAAGTAGCTGCTTATAGTCCAGAAAATACGGTATAATATTTATACTGGTATACTAGTTTATCATATTACTTTTAGTAACGCTAAATAAACATAATCAATCTTATTATAGAGTGCTTAGGCAAAATTAGATGGGACCAACATCCAATTTTGTTCAGGGCCCCATGGAGGCTTGGGACGGCAATGGCCGACAGTTGTACGCTTGAAATTTTTCTTTCATTTGTAATGATTAATACTTTAAGTTAATGAGAACTTAGGGTTTAGTTTGTCTGAATATTTCAGGACCACATAACAGCAAAAAATAGACGAAGTTCTTTAAATCAGGCTAACCACAGTTCTGACTACAAATTTCATCCTACAAATATTTAACTTTGCTATAAATTCTCATAGGATTTTTTTCAACCAGTATATGAAAATCGAACCTATGAACTGTAATATAAATAAAAATGTATTGTAAGACACCTGGACTTCATTGTGGGAACCACAGACTGATTACTGATCCAGTAATTAATGCAAAAGGAGCCCAGACCAAGAACAGTCCAGCATTCAGCTTAAAGTTCATTAGTCCATCACTTTTTAAATTAAAAATCTAATCAAATGATTCTAAATGTCACTATTTCATGCATAAATAAATGATTTTGGATGAAAAATAAATCACTCTACATGTAATGAATCTATATTTGGATGCATTAATATAATCACTCCTATACTCTCCACTAACTCCTCTAAGCAGCTCACTGCTCTGTCGGATAAATGACACTTCAGATTCATCAATTAGGGAGTCAGGAGAAAAAAGCTGGGCTGCAGCATTGCTGAAAAGATGTGTGGAAAGAAAAAAAATTGCTGTCAATAGTAAGGCGGTTCTCGCCTGCTGCCAATTTAAATCAACAGTCACACCTCGGGTTTAATTTAAAACACTGTCAGATTTTTTTTTTTACGTCTGGAGGAGTCCCTGGAGCTGCAGGATTTACTGTAAATAGATGCAGATCAAAAATAAAAAAAAAGGTCTTCAGCAGTTCATCATCTCAGTTAATGACAGAGTCTTAGCGTTTGTCCCAGATGACACACGCCGCCTGAAAAACTCATTTACATCACCCTGCATTAAGGCACCTCTGCTCCTTAAATCAGGCTCCCTATCAGGGGACAGAAACTTGCAGGTTGTTGCAGGGAGTGAAATCACACTCCTGCTGGCCACAAAAACTTACTTGGACGCAGTTCGACCGGAGTGTTGCCAGGGAAACAGGACATTGCCGACAGCTGCCCGGTAGCTGTAGACGCCCAGGAGTCCGAGTGCCAGGGCGACCTTGGAGACCAGCGAGCAGCGTCTTTGAACCAGGAGGTAGATGAGGAGCAAACAGAACGCAGACAGCAGGGACAGGACCATCTTATGCTCAGAGCTGTGGGATGATGATAGACAGAGAGTCACGGCGGGGAGAAAGAAACACCCTGTAGGTCAACAAAAATGAAATTCATTCATATTTCACATGTTTGAGCACATGGTGGACTGTTGTCATCTGTCTACACATCCAGACAGGACGGGCAGGAATTCAACTTAAATGATCAAAGTAAAAACACTAGATGGGTAAAGTGGAGTATTTAGGAGATGAAACATTGTCCAGTCACATCCAGCAGCATCAGTTAAAACTTTAAGGAGATCCACTTTAAGCTGTTTACTGGGTTTAGGAATATACGAGAAGAAATTAGCCCATGCTGAGCATGGACATGAAATAATAAGACCTCAAAGGACGTATCAAAGCAGAGCAGAAGCTGCGTATTTAGCCATTAGCCGGATCAGGCAGCAGTGGAAGTTGGATGTTTTTGAGGCGAGGCCTGGATCTCATTATATCCAAGCAGCAAGGGGAGCAGGGAGGAAGAAAGGGCAACATCGGACAGAGAAAAGGTCAGAATCCACATCTCTATTCCACAATGTGATTCATGTTCAAGAACAAACTATGATTCCACGGCCCGCGCTGCTGTCGGAATATTAATGCTCCGCAGAGCGGTCACAGTTTTTCCTGTGAAATCAGTTTCCCTACAGTGAGAGCAATCACAGACGGCTATCTTCTCTCCTTTAAAACCCTACGTGGCGGGTCCTGTCAGTTTCGCAGTCAGTGTTTATAAGTAAAACCTTTTTTTTCTAGATGTCTGACAAGGCTGCAGCATATGATGAACCTCATCTACCAATGATGAACATCTTCTCCTGGGTAGCAGAAAATAACTGGTTACACTGATATGTTTTGACCAGATGTAGGTGGGATGGCAGCCAGTGAAAATGTAATTGAGTGTGGCTTTGGAAACATGTATTTCTCCTCATAATTCATTCCAAACAGACGGCCACATTTTCTTCCTTAAATATTAAATGACTTGTTCACATTTATATTGTAACCTTCACTCAGAGCTGCAACATGTTGTGGAAATAAATAAAATGTAAGATGCTGGATTCTATGAGCTCAATGATGCAAACCATCAGAGTAAAAAGAATAAACTTTTGTTACAGAGGAAAAGGAAAGAGTCAGGCCCTAATAAATATTAACCAACATTTGAGTATTAAAAACCTGTTGGATAAACTTGGATACTGATGGTAAAAAGAATCCAACTTTTAGCTTAAGCAGCATCGGACCAAAAGATATTGGTTGTTTTTTTGAGGTGTTTAAATTTTTAAAGCAAAGAGATGTTAAATGAGACTGTGTTTTCTGACATATCGGTGAAGTTTTGGCAGCAAGAGACAAAGAGAGCAAACATTTTAGCAGATAACGGAAAGGCTCAACAAAGAAGAGCAAATTTTGTCGGTTTGATTGTACTTTGAACCACTGTTTGTTACGTAACATGCTGGATTTGGGAATGTAGTTCTCTTTCTAGAAACATTAAGGTTGTGATTAACTCTTCATTTAGTTTGATCTATATTTATAATAGCAGTGGAGGTACGATACTGCAAATGTCTGCAAGGGTAAACGAGGAAGTAGCCTACTGTGGCTAAGCCAGTTAGCACCTCACGGCAAAGGGAAAATAATAAAAAAAAAAAGATCAGATGTAAAAAAAACAACAACACAAAAAACAGATATTTTACTCTGTGAGGGATAAGACTGGAAGAGCACTTAGAATATAGTAATAACGTTGGTGTTCATTGAAGCAGGAGCTAAAGTTGCTGAGGGGTTCAGATGTAGCCGATGTGGATGTAGATCTGGGAAGGCGTCCTGATTAATACTGGTAGTAGTGATAGCAATGGTATTCTTAATCTCAACAATCTAAATAAAAATGACATAAAAGCATTGATAGATTGTTTGATTAGTTCTGACCATGTCCCTGTTTGTGTTTCTTATTTATTTATTTTTTTTCCTGTTTGTTCTGATAGGAGGTTTTGGAGAGGATTCACTAGAGTTTAGCGTTGTTGTGGATCAGTTTATCTAAATCATATCTCTCAATCTTTGACCAAACTAAGCCGTCGTTTTCCCGTGACGCTCTATTTAGCAGTCGCCATCTGGCTTTCTGGTAGTTTTTGTTTACTTGCAGCAGATGGCGCCACATCTGTTTATGTCTGCTCATATCGCCCAGTGCAGGAATTTAAGTTAGTCTAAAAAAAGGAATAACTAAAGACTGTGGAGATAGAAGCTTGGTGTATATAACCTCATTTTATCCTGATCAAATGGCTTTTGGTCTTTTTTGTACAGGAGTATAACCAGACTACGCACCTTTAAAAGCTAACTAAGGAACGTTATGTCAACCAAAGTACATTCATTATTGAGATAGTGTGTTACTATTATTAATAATTATATTATAAATGCGAAAAACCTAAACATAAAAGAAAAACCACCATGTTGTAGTAACTCAAACAGTGATGTCACGTGGTTGGTCAATATTTCAGCTAGCAATTGTACACATTGGCTATACCGGCACAACCATATATACAGTAACATTTAAAACATTTGGTAGGATGGAAGACGAGGTTGAAAGGACACTGAAGCATCTAAATTACATTGCTTATGGTTTGGAGCCCATTCACCATGTGATTCAAGCCATAAGAAGGAGAGAAGAGGCAGTTTAAGAGCCGAGGTTCTGACTATCCCTGCGACCCCACAGAACACTGGGTAGGATTTATGACAACAGTACATATGTTTTTGGCTGGTTAAACTCCCGCATCAGTGTGTCGCAGCTAGCTTCTAACAGATATTTTTGATTTATGTCCAATTTTGAACCTCTTAAAACGGTGGGTTTTAAGTGGGGTTAATAATTCAGAATGCATAAAATTCCATCGGTAAAATTTTTACCAGCAGGTGGAGCCATTGTGTGCAGCTCCAAGCTGACACCAAAAGTTCCAAACCCCACAGCTCTGGAACTGTTATAGCTAGAGGTCTGAAACTTTCTGCATTTGAGGTTGACATGATGTAGAACACATATGATACAATGAAACCTGCTTTTTCTCAAGAATGTCTCTATTTCTGCGGATGCAGGTTGGTTTGTGTTCTACTAACCCAATTTTAATTTATATATTTAGATCTTAGAGGGTTTTAGCTTTCAAATAATGTATTGCACATGTAATTTGGGCTTACAGTTCCTAAGTTATTTGCTTTTTCATTTGGGTATGCAAAATATGTGAGGATTACCCAAAATTAGGTGGATGTTAAGAGTTCAAAAAAGGAGCAAAAAGAAGCACTTTGTGCATTTATAGATGGGAAAGATGTGTCTTCTTTTCTTCGAACAGGATTTGGAAAAAGTTTGATTTATCAGCTCACGATACGTCAAGATTTGCTGAAAAGTCACGATTCGCTGCTGCGATTGGCTGAAAGCGTATTATGGAAGGCGGATACTAGCTAGGACGTCACTCAATCAGCTCGAAGTATTGTACTAAACATCCCTCCTTTTCACGTACAGAATGAAAGGCAGCCATTACACATTGATAACATAGAACTCAGTTCAGTTCTACACATTTCAAACTGGCTACTCCCAGGTTAGACCTGAGATGCTCCTCCACACCTGAAAAACAGTCGCTAGCTGAAAAACCTCTAATTAAATCTCTTCATGGCTGTGCTGGTTCTTCACATAGATTTCCTCCATTCCTTTATCTTAAGTCAGATAAAAGATAAAAGATCAACGACCAGTTAAAAGGTTGCTACGCTGATGGGTTAGTTTCCAACTTCAGTTTACATAGTCAGGAAAATCGCTGAGCTTTAAAATAAACAGGAAGTCAGAATAATGTTGGAATAACTTCGAGGATAAATTGGATGCATAATTCATAGCAGAGGAAATACATTTGTTAGGATATTGTGAGTTTATTACACCTGAATATTAGCTGCCTGTTGCATGTCAGAACTGATGTTTTCCACAATAGTTTATCTAATTAAAACAGTTCCTCTGTCCGGATGCACAGTTATAATCTTCATTCTGTACGTGGCAAATATTTGGGAATGGAATGAGAGCGGTTTCCTTCAGCTAAGAACAAAGTGCAATATTTTGATACGGTTGGAACCATGGATGTCTACTCATCTGCTAACGTGTGTGATATAAAATGTGATGATGCGGCAGACTGGAGATGTATAAAATGCCCTTTTAACTGTTAATCAAGTCCACTTCCTGAGAGGTGAGCAGCTGCCTTCTGTAAACTCCAAACAACTTCTCTGATCGGAGTTCCAATTTCTATCAGAATCCATTGTTATTTCTCATTGTTATTTAATACACATAAGTTATGAAGTGTTATTTAAAGAGTTTGTCGCGAGTGATCTCTTTTCAGGAAAAGAACCGGAGAGATAAAGCTTCAAGGTATACACAGAGCCTGACTTTAACAGATTAAAATAAGCAACATCAGAACGGATCATCCAACATCCATTCCAGGATTTACCTGTTCAGCCAGTGACTGACGTCTGGGAGGTGGGCCCACTGGACCCCTGTTTGGTTGAGTGAGCGAAGCAGCCGGCAGCAAACCAGAGTGAAGGGAGGCGTGGCCAGAGCGAACCACTTCTCTGAGATCATCTCTGGTTTGGGGTGAGCAGAGGAGTGACTGTCTTTGGAAGGAAGGAGATGCTCATCATCATCTCCAGAGCTTCTCTCCTCTCTGAAGTACTTCCTGCACACATCCTGGAAGACGGCGAGACAGAGCGTGTTGAGCAGGAAGTACCAGGTTTGGTGCTCCTCTTCCACGAAGCTGCTCGCTGCCAAGCTGAGCGTGTGAGCAACGGTTCCCGCCAAGAGCAAAACATCTAGCTCCGATAGCGACCACTCCCCACCGGAGCTCCTCATGGGAGACTGTGAAAAACATAAAATAAGCTATTTTACACAGCCGGTTGGAAGAAAGATACAGTCAGACAAAGAAAATAATATATGATATATAGACTAGTAGAATAATCTATATTTAATAAAATAACAGCTAGATGCGATAACATCAAAAGTTTATAAACCTAAAGAAGGCAACATGGCAGTAGGCCTATGTGTATTTGCGGTTGGTACAGCCTGATCGAGCAGGCAGCGCCCCCTGCTGCCCAATGATAGATACTACCCACAAGTCACAGATGATTTTTACCAGTGTGACATTTGTGTCAAAAGTGAAAATGAAGGCGTAACTTGTTAGGTTGAATTTGTGACTCACAGAAGCAGATTCGTGCAGTCGTGTTCATTGATTTGTATTTATGTTAAGGAAAAAAATGCAATTTCTTTTGTTGAAGATTTTAATATACGCGTTTGAATTTGTTTTGCACATTTTTTTTTTCTTAGATAAACTGAATGGAAGACATTTTTGATGGCAACTCACAGAACCCAGTTTGTGTACTTTGGTGTACGTTTTTTTTTTTTTTTTGTAGTAATTGCGGCAGATTAAAAAAATCTGCAATTGCAAAACCACAAAGTTACAATGTAAAAATAGATTTGCAACAATAGTTGGACCATTTGATATGCAACTTGTAGAACAAAATTTGTGTACTTGTACCTAAAATTAAATTGGATGTAAACAAAATTTGTACTTGTGATTTTTTTTTTATTCTACAAATACAAAACTTATGAAGAGAATGTAACTCTCTCTACAACTTCAAATTCACACTTACAATGCCAAAATAGTTTTCAAACAAAATAACCTTCACAATGGTTCCCCAATACAAAAACTAGTAAAATAATTAATAGATTAATCTATCAATAATAGCTTTACTTTTGTTTTGTTTTTTGTTGTCTTTATAAATGTTTTTACACATCAGTAACTTTGTCTGTTTTATTTTGTTTGCCGGCTGTCTATTTGTTCATTTTTCACAAGCAAATTAAAATAACATAAAATAACAATGACCTCAGGAATTATCGACAGCCTTTTCATTCAAAATTAAATCTATGAATACTGCCATATTATAAATAATGAACATATTATTTTAAAACATTACATTAAATAAATAAAAGTCTCAGTTAAAGCTGCAGTCTGTTACATTGAGAAGAGAGCAGACTTCGACTGAAAATTTGAAGAAAAACAGGTTTCACGCCACTCCCCCACCCTCTCTGCTTCACTCATGCCCCACCTCCAAGCTCCACCCCTCTCACAGCACCTGCGCGGCTACCGCATGCGACCAGAAGCGTCCAAGCAGCGTACGCGGCATGGAGTGTGAACCGGTAAGAGCGATAACACTCACCTCCAAGCAGCTAGATATAAGATGCTGGTTATACCGAAGTTACAAATTTATTACTCAATTGTTTATTCCACGCGCGTCCTCCTGACTGCGGCAGCCGGGCGGCAGCGGCAGGTTCAGCGGTGAGAGGGAGGGGGCGGGATTCAGCGTGTGTGAGCTGTGATTGACACTCCATCAGACGCTCCTCTGGCTGTGATTGGTTGTTTTGACTCGTCCCGAATTATTCTTTCCAGATTGAAATACAGGTGCTGGTCATAAAATTAGAATATCATGAAAAAGTAGATTGATTTCAGTAATTCCATTTAAAAAGTGAAACTTGTATATTATATTCATACATTACATACAAACTCATATATTTCAGATGTTTATTTTGTTTAATTTTGATGATTACAAATGACAACAAATGAAAATCTCAAATTCATCATATCAGAAAATTAGAATATTACTGAAGACCAATAAAAACAAAGGATTTATAGAAATGTTGGCCAACTGAAAAGTATGAACATGAAAAGTATGAGCATGTACAGCACTCAGTATTTAGTTGGGCCTCCTTTGGCCTGTATTACTGCAGCAATGCGGCGTGGCATGGAGTCGATCAGTCTGTGGCACTGCTCAGGTGTTATGATAGCCCAGGTTGCTCTAATAGTGGCTTTTAGCTCTTCTGAATTGTTGGGTCTGGTGTATTGCATCTTCTTCTTCACAATACCCCATAGATTTTCTATGGGGTTAAGGTCAGGAGAGTTTGCTGGCCAATTAAGAACAGGGATACCATGGTCCTTCAACCAGGTACTGGTAGCTTTGGCACTGTGTGCAGGTGCCAAGTCCTGTTGGAAAATGAAATCTGCATCTCCAAAAAGTTGGTCAGCTGCAGGAAGCATGAAGTGCTCTAAAACTTCCTGGTATGTGGCTGCGTTGACCCTGGACCTCAGAAAACACAATGGACCAACACCAGCAGATGACATGGCACCCCAAACCATCACTGACTGTGGAAACTTTACACTGGACTTCTGGCAACGTGGATGAAGTGCCTCTCTTCTTTTCCTCCAGACTCTGGGACCTTGATTTCCAAAGGAAATGCAAAATTTACTTTCATCAGAGAACATGACTTTGGACCACTCACCAGCAGTCCAGTCCTGTTTCTCTTTAGCCCAGGCAAGACGCTTCTGACGCTGTCTGTGGTTCAAGAGTGGCTTGACACAAGGAATGCGACAGCAGAAACCCATGTCTTTCATACGTCTGTGTGTGGTGGTTCTTGAAGCACTCACTCCAGCTGCAGTCCACTCTTTGTGAATCTCCCCCACATTTTTGAAGGGGTTTTGTTTCACAATCCTCTCCAGGGTGCGGTTATCTCTCTTGCTTGTACACTTTTTTCGACCACATCTTTTCCTTCCCTTCGCCTCTCTATTAATGTGCTTGGACACTGAGCTCTGTGAACAGCCAGCCTCTTTAGCGATGACCTTTTGTGTCTTGCCCTCCTTGTGCAAGGTGTCGATGGTCGTCTTTTGGACAACTGTCAAGTCAGCAGTCTTCCCCATGATTGTGTAGCCTATAGAACTAGACTGAAATACCATTTAAAGGCTTTTGCAGGTGGTTTGAGTTAATTAGCTGATTAGAGTGTGGCACCAGGGGCCATCAATTTTGAACCTTTTCACAATATTCTAATTTTCTGATATGATGAATTTGAGATTTTCATTTGTTGTCATTTGTAATCATCAAAATTAAACAAAATAAACATCTGAAATATATGAGTTTGTATGTAATGTATGAATATAATATACAAGTTTCACTTTTTAAATGGAATTACTGAAATCAATCTACTTTTTCATGATATTCTAATTTTATGACCAGCACCTGTACAGGCAGTAGGCGGTACCAATTGAAGCAGTTTTTTTCACAGGTTACATATCACATGTACTGCTGTCTGGGCATAGGGACAGTTTTAGCCAATATGACAAAAAAGTGATTTTTAAAAACTTAGAGACTTCAGCTTTAAACAAACAAAATATACATAAAAAGTAGACTTTTAGTTCATTTTATCATTTATTTACCTTAATATCTATTCATTAATTTGTTAAGAATTTGTTTTTCAACATATCTACTTATCTATTTTAATACACTTTTAATTATTGAGATTGATTGATTTTTTATTTTTATTTTATTGATTTTTCTAAGACATATTGATATTTTTTATTTCAAGATTAATTTATTTCATTTTTTTTTTATAAATTCCTTAATAATTGTATATTTTTTTTTTACATTTAAGTTTTATTTCCATATTCATTTATTTTAGAATAAACTCTCAAATGACGGGGCAGAAATAATTGTATGACCAGAGAAATTTTGGCCCCTCATTCGAAAATAAGAACAAAAAAACAAAGGAAATTTTTCAAAAATACCTGAAATTGAAACGGTCTTAGAAATCAATTAATTCCTTAGAATACTTAAAGTAGCTTTGAAAAATCAAAGTGTCACAAATAAAATGTAAATATTGAATCAATAAGCATTAAAAATTAAATTTATTTCTTTAAAGATGACTTAAATAAATTAATCTTAAATAGAGAAAAACCAACGAAAAATGTTGATTTAATTAAATAACTACACAAATGATAAAGCATCCCCCATAATATTTTGTATCTCTTTTGTTTTATTATAATATATATATTTTATTTATTTGCTGGAATATTTAGATGCTATTTATTTATGACAGGTTTGAAAATAATTGATTTAATATTCAATGAAACAGCTGTTTATATGAAATCAAATAAGTATTCTAAAAAATACATTTAGTAAATAAATATTTCCAAATAGACCTTTCTAAATGTTTTGAAACACACACACACTCGTGCTGTAGTGAGGACTGCATGTTGACTCCCATTGATTTCCATTGACTTTCAGTAATTTTCAACCCTTTCTATGCCCTAACCCTAAAATAACCCTAAACCTAACCATTACTAATGCATATCTCCCCCTAACCCTAACCAAATGACACCTTGGCCCTTAACCCAGTGGTTCTCAAACTTTTTCTGTCATTCCCCACTTTGGACAAGGGGGAATTTTCAAGCCCCGCCTGTCCCCATCGCCCCAACACAATGCTAATGAAATATGCAACAATCTTAAAATGTTCCAATTTTACTGAAGTAACAAGTAGTATCTAAATACAAACTATCTACATCAAATAACAGCAAGCTAAAAAATAAAGAAAACAAAAATGCAGCTGTGTCAAAATTTGTATCAAGCTCAAAGATAGAAAAAATTAAAGTGCCACTCTGCAATCTGTTAATAAAAGAAAAGAAGTGAAATCCATCTGGCAAGACAGTTCTATTTATCCCTGCATTAGTGGCTGCAATGAGCCTGTTTTGCATTGCACAGTTTCTCAAAACGGGGTTGCAGGCTTGATACTGCCACTCTCAAGTCATGCTCAATGTTCAGCTGAGATCTGTATTTTGTTTTCATTGAAGCAACAGCTGAAAAGCCCATCTCACAGAGATATGATGTGGCAAAGGGAAGAAGAATGCACACAGCTCTCTGCCCGATGAGTGGAAACTCCCTCTCCACTCCTAACCAGAATTCACTATTAGTCTGAGCATTAAACCTGAGCTTCAGGGTGGAGTCAGACGTCATTTCAATAAACTGGTCCTCCTCAGC